TCTTGTCTTCTTAAAGCAGCTTTTCTCCAGGATTAGCTTCCTGAGCTGATTTAACGTTTCCAAAACTGATAAAGAAGTATGTTGTACTTTAGAGAAAGCTAAACTTAACTGTTCTCAGGAATGCTAATATAAGGTGGTTCAATCACCGAGATATCTCGGATGAAAAAAATCTAAGAAATTACTGACTTTGAATATGTGGGTTAAAATGAAGGGATTGGTAATAATATTGCCCAGTATATACATGCAGTCAGAGATTTTCTTGTTATTCTTTTCCTGTTGAATTCCTTTTCTTTAGCTTTTGCACTGTGACGTAATACAATTGGATGTCCTGGCCTTACAGCTGCTCCTGTAAGGCTTGTATTGAAACCTGTGGGGTCTTGCAGGAGGCATCAAAACACAGACATCAACTTGGAATGATTCGTAGTCCAATGTGATTACTGAAACACTTCTGTTTTTTCAGGCAAATTACTGTAGTGAGCCCTTGGATGTGTACAGCTACCTACAGAGCCAGGAAATTGGCACAACTCTGGCACTGCTCTACATAACGTGGGCAGAAGCACTTGAGGCTAGAGAAAGTTTTAAGAAAGCAGATCTGATCTTCCAGGAAGGTCTTCAGCGCAAGGCTGAGCCTTTGGACAAGCTCCAGTCCCACCACAGGTAAACTTCTAGCTCAAGTGAAGAACTTAGAGTGATGATGTGTGCTTCAGTGGGCAGTGAGGTTGATGCTGACTTCTCCAATGTTTTTTTTCCAGGCAGTTTCAGACCCGTGTTTCTCGGCAGACACTGCTGGGGCTGGAGGAAACTTCTGATGAAAATGACATGGGTCTTCTGGGAGCTTCAGAACCTCAGAGAAAGTCACTGGCAGATCTAAAAGGCAGGGGGAAGAAGAAAGTGAGAGCTCCTATTAGTCGGGTAGGAGATGCACTTAAAGGTACATTCGGCTGCTGAAATCACATATTATTGGAAGAGTTAAATCTTTTTGCTGTGGAATTTGCGCTTGAGTGTGATAGTTTAGAGGTTAATTTACCTAAATCTTTTTTGCTTATAGCCACAAACCAAACCAGAACCTTCCAGACTCTACCTTCTCAGCAGCTTTCAAGTAATCCCGGTTTTGCTGTGTTTGATGAAAATTCAGTTTCTGGACCTGAGCTTCCCATCATTACCCCACAGCCTTGGGCAGCACCTCCAGCTCCACGGGCCAAGGAGAACGAACTAAGCGCAGGGCCTTGGAACTCTGGCAGGGTAAGGAGTCTCAAAATGTACTGGAGAAAAGAGGAAAGTGTATGTAAGATGATGATCGCTGAGACCAAGATTGTTCTCTTTCTCCCTTGCCTGGGGTTTGTGATTATTTGTAGCTACAGATTTTCCTGCCTTCTTCCTGAACAGTCTCTGGCTGTATGTAACCTGTTCAAGTGTAGCAAGCTGATCTTGCTAGAATAAGTTTTTAAAACTCTCTAGAGCTTGTAGTAGTAGTTCTTGCTAGCTGGGAAAATTGGTAAAGATGGCCTGCCAAACTGTTTGGAGGAGAAAGGGAGAGAAATCAGGCATTAGTTAGTTCTGTAAGACAGAAGAGCAGGAGTTAAATTGGTATCAGGTTGCATTGTATGATAACTTATCTATCTTCTTATGAAAATAAGGAAGAAGCTTGTGAGGAAAACACAAGAGCAGAGATCAAAAGAATTCAAGAGCTACTGTATCAATGGAATATTTATCCTGACAATAAGTCAGAAAGTATGTTCCAATGGTTTAAAATAATGCTGGAGAGATGAGGAGGAACAGCTGTGCTACAGGTGTCTAAGCTGGTCTAGAGAAATGATCCAAGACATTATCTGAAGGAAACTAATCCTATGAAATCAAGTTTGTTTCATATGTCCTTAGATAACCCCCTGTGTTTCCCTGCTCTTTGTAGATTGGAGGGGAGGAACAGAAAGTAATCAGATGGTCAATATTTTACACTTCTAAGTATAGAAGTCACTAGAAGTGAAGATCAGAAACAAAAACTGATATAAGGGGAGGGAAGCCAATGGGCTGAAATTCACAGGTACTCCAGCAATAATTACTACCAGATAGAAAGCAATGTGATTAAGTAAATGGGAAAGTTCAGTAAATCACAAGTTTAATTTAGCTGAGAGGAATGAGGAGGAGGAACTATTAAAGTAAAAGTTCTTTTACCAGTTGCCTTGTTTTGGGCTGCTTAACACATTCATTCTTCTGCATTCTTTTAATGTCTGTCCTTAAGAGTTTTCTCTGGTCTCTCTTTAATGAAACTTATTAGACTTAATTTAAAGAAAAACTAAATAAATCTGCAGCTAAGAGAAGAGTTGAGGATGTTTGATTTCCCTGCTCCGAAGCATGGTGCTCATTCTGGCTTCTATGAAGGAATAACCTCTTGTGAAAGCTTGGAGATATTCAAAGCTACACAGAGGGCAAAGGCTTCTTTTACTGCCAATGTGAAGATGCCAAAGTTTGAAAAATGGTGGAAAAGAGAAGCCAGTTTGAAATATTCTCACCATGTACCTTTTTCTGCTTAAAGAGTCTAGGGCAATTTCAAATGGGCAGATGAGCAGCATGTTGTCAGGCTAAATTCCATCTCTCTTCCCTTAAATAATGGACCCTCAAAGCAGGATTTTTGTGGTGTTGGATTGGCCTCTGGGAGGAAAACTAGGAAGTCTGGAGGTTCTTGGTGGACAGCAGAAGGAATAATCTCATGGAGTTGGGACAGTCTTGGCTGAACAATGAGAACTGTAGCATTTCTGGAAAACACAAGAAGAGCAGCTGGAATACCCCGTTTGACCAGCATTCCCTCAGGAACAGAAACTGGGTAGTTTAGGAGTATGTCTTGCTTTTTTAGGTGCTTGTACTCAGCCGATGGTCTGTAACTGTTCATGTATTGGAGCAGAATTAATCTTGTACATTAATCTTGGAAGTCTACCAGGTTCAATTATTTTAAATAACAAAAACTACAAATAAACCCAACATTTGGGGAAGGGAGATACAGGCTAGAGAGGAATGTGGAGTCTAAACATGAATCTTTAAGCTGTTAACACTGACACTTCCCTCCTCAGCACCCTCGCAGCCACGTGCAACCTGCAGTAGAAGTGCCCTGCCCAATGCCCAGTTTCACCCCCTACGTGGAAGAATCAGACCAGCAACAACTCAAGTGAGTCTGCACCTCAGAGGGAAGTGGGGATTGTGCTGGAAATTATCAAAGCTGCTTCAGAAGATTCTGACTCGTTTTGCCAACCTCCTGATCTACAAGAAATTTAGAATCTGTCAGCCTGGAAGCTCTTAGGACTTTAGCTTGATGGCAGAGGCCTCAGTGGAGGATGTATAAGGGCAGGAGAAGTATTTGACTATTGGTCATAATGTGGAAGCCTATATCATATCTATATATGCTAATTAATTTTATAGCTTAACTCAATGTGTTTACATAAACACAGTTACCTCTCCTCTTAGGATGCGGTTTGCTATGAAAGCAGTCAGGAATTGAGACAGGATTACTGCTGTTTTCCTCTCTTTTGGAAACTCTGCTCGTTCTATCTGGAGTTTATCTGAAACAAGCTAGCAAAGTTTCCATGACAACAGTGTTGCTTCCGTTATGAGGAGTGTGCTGTTTTGCCTGGAGTTACCTTTCTGCTTGTACTGTGCGCACTGAAATGCTGACGGTTCCCAGGAGATGGAGTTGCTTTGCTTGGTTAGAGCAGAGGAAAACGCATTATATTATAAAGCTGCTTACTTACC